GGCACTGGAATGCACTTCATTAGTATAGGATAAATCCTTCCTAAAAATGAGATTCAAGCAACTAGTTCTCTGGTTTTCTCAAAATCTGGCCAGCGAGTTAATTTTCTGTGCCAGATGGAGGTCAATTGTGAGTTCCATTGACATTGAACTGAAAGAAATCAGCGCCCTCTCCACTGTCAGATTTTCCCAATCAATTGCTGGTGCGTTAAAATCATTTCCAATAAGAACCTCTTGGTTACCAGCTGCCTCTTTCACCAGACTGAGAAGCGAGTCGCTAGCTGCACTCAAAATGTTTGGTGGCCTGTATTTTGCCATGAATTCTAGGTTCTGTGAGTTTACCTTGTCCAGCTTTATCCAGGTGAATCCATGCTTCAGAGCTATGGTTTGGTTTCCTTCGACAACGGATACTGTTGTTCTTACATATTATGTAACCCCACCACCTTGTCTGTTTTGACGATCTTTGTGAAAAAGCTGGTATGCTTGTGTTGAAATCTCAGAATCCGCGATTTCTGTTCGAAGCCAGGTTTCCATCATGGCAACAACATCAGGTTTCCGGCCTGCTCAAAAATAGCTTGGCCTCGACCTCACTCTTCAAGACAACCTTCGAGGGTCTTGGTTGGCGTTGTTCATCTGTTGGTTCTCTTAATATTCCCATTCCGAACGCCTTTAGAACTTCAGCTTTCTCCTCATCCTTTAGGAGTGATTTAAGGTATGTTTTAAATAATTTCCTCCCTCCTTGTATTCTTGACTTTGGGGTGTCATAAGTAGCTTCATTTATGTCTTTGATGACTATCACGATCCACTCGAGGGCCTGGTTATGTCGTCTTATCCTGAGAGATTGTTGTACTGTACTTCCGGCTGTCGTCCTCTTCTGCTCTACTGGGTTTTGCTCATAATAAGGATGAACATAATACAATGAATCATATGATTTTCTTAGATCTAACAGTACTCATGGATTTTAACCTTTATCTGGTAAGAAAACTTTTAGTATGAAGTAAGTTGAATAAGGGAAGAGGCTTTTTCGAAAAAAAATATAGTTGTACTTGAGAATGTTTGACCTGGTGACACCTATCTTTCCGCAGATATAATAAAAAAGAAGTTGGTCAGTTAGAAATTTGCAATGAACAGCTTAGGTGACAAGGCAGTTATACCACTGGTGTTTGAGGGGTAGTAAGAGTAAGTAAAGGTCGCCAGGTAATAGTGTTCTATATGTCACTGGACATTCAACAAGTTTACTTTTTTCAATTATTCTACAAATTTGTAATATTTTATCCAATGACACCGCAAATCGTGGAGTCTGGCCTAGAAATATTGTAGAAACTACCTGGAGCATTGGGGAATTCCCACGGAGTTCAAAGGCATTCGCCTATCTTTCCCTCAATAAACAGATACTGATACCGACTCCAGCCCTGACTCTGACGTCGAACTCGACGCATCAAACGACTTCAGTTAAATTTTATCTTTCATTGAATTTTCTACTTATTATTGATGACCTTCCTGATCTTCAGCTCTAAAATTCTTTCAAAAAACTCTCTAAAATCTTCTGGAGACATGCAGGCAGTGGAAAGTCTTAGCGTAAAAGAACTGTTAAGTATACACTTACTATCCATGAAGGCACGTCGTGCATATCATGAAACATTGAAATGCCTCTCAGGGTTGGTGAGTTGAACCTGAAACTACAAATCAGAAATGGTTAAAATTTAATTAAACCGATCAATCGCAAAAATACATATTTTTACTATGCTAAAAGATAACAACTGCAAACTGAACAATTTGGCGGTCATATGATAATTCACCAATGGACAACTTGACAAAAAGATTACTTTCAGTGAAACGTGATTTACTACAGCAACATGCGACAGGAAAGGATATTCTTGTGGAAATAATATATGACTCATTGAGAGCAAGTGAACGAAATTTTGACGCGAGCATTTCAGAATAATAAATACAGCATTACGAAAGACTGCATTAAATTGATGACAGAATTTTTTCCTAATGACAATTTAGGACTGATAAATTTGTCAAACGCCTGGTTGCTTTCAAACGAAGATGCACCTGATAAGGTCCAAGCGTGTATAAATACTAACGATACATTTTTAGGATGCCATTTTAAGTCTTATAGATTCTGTCATGATGCAATCACAGGAAAAGTTGGATTCGCAAACTCTCCTAGAAGCATCAGCCATGTTCTTTAGAGTTGCCGGTGAAAACATTCGTCTACCGAAGTTTCAGTCATTTCAGAAAATTGCACAGCATATTTTCAAGGCTGTGGTTAGCTCTCCAGAGATCGATGACGACTGGAAAACATTTATGTGCTAGTAAGTTTAAAATTTTTTGGGGTTTAAGAATCATCTTTAATTTAATTTTTCTGTAACATCTGAATTTGTATCTAGAGATATGTATTAAGATATGTAGTCATAAAACACACAGTGATTGGTTTGTTAATACTGGGGGCAAATATCCTGGGTACGAATACCAGTTGTACACCTATTGTTAGTTCTAACTACCTGATGACAACCAGCTTACTAGAATGTGCCCGTCAGATCTCCCTCACATATTTCTTTACCATAGTGTATTAAAATTCGTCTAGTTTCTACGCAAGGCCCATAAGAACCCCAGGCTATGCCCCGAGGTACACCGAGACTAGCACCTTTTGTTACCTGCTCTGCGATCCTAAATACTTTGAATAGTTTAACAAAGATCGTGGAACATAACTTAATCCGCAAAAAAACTTCATTTTTTGATTTTCAGTATTCTTGTGAACATGCTGCTTGCTTCGAACCAAAAGAAAGAGGCAAATGACCTACTTGAACAGCTCAGTTTGGGTCTCTCAAAATCGTGCCCTTATCTTTTTACAAAACTTATCGCGAAGGCTAATGCGGCTGGATTATCTTTCGCCGAGCGTCTTGTCGTTGGAAGTCTTATCCCAATGAACAAAATCGGTGATCTATCAGACAACAATCAACCAAACATAAGCAATATGCCCCAGAAGAAACCAACAACGTACCGGCTTTCTACGAAATTAAGAAGCAATCTCCAAAGTCAAGGCTTGGGCGCTTTGGCAAGTATAGCAAAAATTCAAAATTTGTAAGTCTTTTACTGAAAATGCGTTTATGTTCACACAGGGCTGAATTTTTAATTTCCCCATATTCGCCAAGTAGGTAACACAGGTTCTGTGAGCATCATACGTCTTTTGCATTAGTAGACTTCAGTTGACCGAAATTTTTTTCTCGCAAGCACGAAAAGCAGTTATTAAGTTTTAATACTATAAAATGATTTTTGATATTTAAAATTTGGAGGCCATTTTTAAAGCTATCTTGATTTTCATTCCTTCTGAAAATACTATTTCGTAAAGAAGAAGGAAGCACGTCAGTCGCCGGAATTATGGTTTATGCGTCTGAGCTTTCGTACTCTTACTGGAATCCATCGTCAGAGATAAAAGCGCCAACGACAAAAACAAGCAAAAGTTATAAGCG